GTCGGGGCAGCCAAGAGCATATTACATGGCAGTCATGCCGCTGCTCAGACCAAAGGGAGAGGGAGGCGGAGCACTTGGAGGTGGAGGGGAGGAGCTAAGGGTGAGGAAGAAGACTTCCATGGCTATGGAGTAGTAGCAGTGGGAGGTAGGAGAAGCCCTAGGCTATTGAGGTAGAGGGAGAAGACCTTCCAGCAGCCGGGCCACGGAGGTGACTAGAGGTTGAGGAAATAGGAAGGAGTTTCGGAACGGACAAGGGGACTTACCTTTGTCTATGGGCGACCTACATCTTGATCTTCCTAGTTGACGCCCCTGGTGGGCTACCGCTTGGACATGGACGTATTCTGGAGAGTAGCTATGGTGGTAGTGAGCAGGAGAGGCATGCGAGTAGTTGCTCTGTCCCTTTCCCTTTGAACATCCGTGCTTTGCCATAATTGGCCACCATAGATAGTAGCCAAGCCATAGCAAGTGGAATGAAGAGGGAGAGTGAGCGAGAGGAGAGCTCTTTCTACATTGGCAGTAAGGGGGGGTCATTTGCACTGTATTTGCACTATCACCGTTATGAGTGTTGCATTTGATTGATTCTTCTCCATTCATAAATTATTATTGTAATTTATTGAATACAGATATGGAGGTGATGAATGAAAGGGAGACGATGGTGGCAATAGAAGTAGAGAGACGACATTGGTTCCAGCTTATGCTCTTCTTCTTCTTCTTCTTCTTCTTCTTCATTGTCTCCTACTCCTCCTCTCCTGAACTCATTCTTCTTCTTCCATTTGAGTCGCGATGTAGGGCATAGTCTCAAATTTGAGTTTGCAACAGGAAATGGACAGGATCATTGTGAACACAAAAATAGGCTGAAAGGGTTGGATGCCCACGTACACGAACCATGGAGCTTTTGGTGTTGCAGGTGCTGAACAACGTTTCCATCCGTTTTGGGTTGGTTATTTTGTCGCGTTCTTCCATTTACCTGGATGCTTGGATGGCTTTTCAGGGGGAATGGATTGTCAAGCAGGCGGCTCGGATCGTACCCAGTCAGCACTCAAGTACATGTTCCTCCCTTCCCTCCCTTTCTCCCTTTCTCGCTTGCTCGCTTCATCCCGTTTACCTCCTTTCTCCCTTCATCCCGTCTACTTCCTTTCTCCCGTTCTCCCGTTCTCCCGTTCTCCCTTTCTCCCGTTCTCCCTTTCTCCCTTTCTCCCTTTCTCCCTTTCTCCCTTTCTCCCTTTCTCCCTTTCTCCCTTTCTCCCTTCTTACCTCCCTTCATCCCTCCCTTGTCCTTTCCTTCCTCTCCTTCTTTTCCCCCTTATCCCGTTCCTTGACATGTCCCTCCCCCTTCCTTCCCCCCCCTCCCCCCCCCTTTCCCCCTTTTCCGTCGGATGGTGCAATTGGCTGCTGAGGGTTGTCTGGGTACCGTACTGTTTTTGTATGACGGGGTATGTTTTAAGTCAATCTCTCTTCTCTTGCCAGAAAATCTTTCCCCTCGCAGCACGCTCATACATCGACCTATCCACACAGAGCACCCTCATACATCAACCTCTCCACACACAGCACACTCATGCATCCTCGAAGACTGGCATCTTCCCGCTATCGAAATCTATCTCCAAGAACTTGTTCATTTGCTGATCTGGCGAGATCTCACAGCAAACACACCTCCCGCACCGTATATAAATCTACTATTTCACAACTACATGGCAGCAAGCTCAGTGGAACACTGCTCCCCGCCTTAGGACGAATCTACTATGACGCTGACAACGCTACAAACTGCAGCGCAGTGCTCAGACAACCCTTCTCACAGACTATCATTGACTCTCCTTCAAGCCACCAGTACATCTGACCCTCTTTTGTACGAGGGGATTCCCCCTGTGCGCCAAGCTTTACCGAAACACCAGTGCGACGTTTTTGTTTTCATTTTGGCTGGCGCCGGCAGTCATTTTGGTCTGGCTGCCCCGAACCTCCCAATTTTTTGGAGAGAGCCTCCCGTTGTTCTCACGTTGCCTGGAGCCATGTGCTGGTTGTTTGACACAGCAAATTACCCACCGCACAACTACCACCACTGTGGAGACCAGAAGCTGGTTGCATGGTTGGATTCATTACCTTCCTTCAAATCAGTCGAGTTGTTGTCCATGTTCTACGGGTGAATGGCGGGAAGAGGAATTACCCCGGGAAAACAGCTTTGCTTCGCAAATAAACACCCGCGAATATGTCAAGTGCATGTTAGAAGTCACCTACTCGCCAACCTGACGAGAAAGGCATTCCCTATTTCGAGAGTATCACAATATTGCAGTTCGGAGACTTGCGTCCACTCTTGCTTCAGAGTACTACAGAGTACTACAGGACAAAAAACAACTGATAGCAGTCAGGTAAGGGACGTCAATGCCGGGCGAAACACATGGGCGAGTCTACAAAGCAAGATGTGCAATGACAAACTACAAAACCCGTAAAGAAGACAAGCAAACAGTTTGCATTCAGTGAAGCCACAACAAAACAGGTCAATCTAATCGCAAGGAGAAAAAAAAAAAAGAAAAAAAAAAAAGAAAAAAAAAAGAAAATACTGCAAGTATTCCCACGAGATGCAGTTAAACCAACCCCCTCTTGGGCGGCGTCTAGTGCCACCGGAGGAAAGCTGGCTCCTTTGTGTTCTTTTCGTCTGTTTCTTTCTCATTGCACATCTCTGTCTCTGGTCTATGAATGTGCTTGCCGGTGATAAGCGACCGGAGTGGTGCCCCCCAGAATAGAACAGAACTGTGTACTGTGTGTTACCAAAAAACAAAACAAAACAAAAAAAACACTGAACTCGAGTGACCGTGCATTTTGTTGGTGTCATAGTAAGCCGACTGACACAAATCTGCAAGTATGAAGATGGCAGAAGCTATGGCACCTTGTATGCTTTGCTTGTCGAAGGTGCTCGACGAAAGCACGAACATTACCACTGTGTAAAACCCCAACTGTGCAGAGGATGCATCGTCCATCCGCCCGCTGATCTGGCAGAGGAAACCCAGCACAAGCTATGGTGTTTGCGATTCGATGTGAAGCGAAACGTACGTTCTCCTTGTGCGGCTTCGATTATTGTCTTCTCGCTGTCAGCGGCAGTGCGAACGTAGTTTCGAAAAGCAAGGTGCAACCTCCATTTTGAACCATCAGAAGATACAAAACTTGACACACTCTGTCTGTGTGGAGTGAAGGGAGACGTTCTCCTTGTGCGACTTCGATTGGTGTCCTACCGCTGTTGGCGGCAGTGAAGATAATTTTCTTCAAAAGGCACGTCCTCCGTTTTGAACCGTTGGATACAAAAAGATGGCACTCTGTCTATGTGTGGAGAAAAGTGGGGGGGGGGGGGGGGGGGGGGGGGGGGGGGGGGGGGGGGG